TATTTTAAAATAAAATAAAAATAAAAACAAAGTATAAAAAAATAAAAAACGAATTCAAACTATGAATAAAAACTAAAATAGTATCTCAGTGATATTAAAATAACTACTGTTTATTTCAAGACTACCTTGCTGCTGGTTCTCTGTGTTCATTATTGTGAATGAGCTGATATTGTGAGTTCAGGCTATTTGTCAGTATTTTATATGAGTAATGCTTAATGAGATGAATATTTTTAGGGACCACCAGGATCACCTGGAATGCCAGGAATTACAGGAAAACCAGGAAAACTTGGAGACTTTGGCCTGTCGGTATGTAAATTCGACTCATTTTAAATATCATAGAACTTGTTCTAAAGACATTTATAGAAATTGTACAAATTTCAATAGAAAATGAATATATGTGCCATTCAGCCTAACCAAATCTATGGTCACTAGCTATAGGTCATGTGATTTCTGACTCATCATTTCTTATCTGTCGATCACAGGGACCTGTTGGCATGAAAGGAGAGAAGGGTGAAAGGGTATGTGTCGCTTTAATACAATTTTCATACAATTTGCATTGTACACCCAGAACAACCTAGCAAACACTTACAATACCTTAGCAACTACCTCGCAACGCCCTAGTAACCATTACGAACCAGAACATTGCGGCTGAAAAATCCTTTTGCATGAGCAAGAACAATCTAGAATATTCTGTTTTCTGTTTTCCAGGGAGATACTGCGTCACAGAATATGATGCGCTCTGTAGCAAGACAAGTCTGCGAACAACTAGTCAGCAGTAAGGCACTTCAAAATAATAACAAAAAAGGTTACACTTTATTTCGATAGTCCACTTTAGACATTCTATTAACTATAAGTAACTTTGTAACTACATGTCAACTACATGTCAACTAATTCTCATTAATTTGCAACTACATGTCTACTAACTCTCAGAGTAGACTGTTAGGGTAGGTTTAGGGTTAGTAGAATAAGTTGACAAAGAAAGTGTTAGAAGATATCAAGCAGACAGTCTACTAGTACTCTACTAACTGCTAGTTGACATGTAGTTGCAAAGTTACTTACTGTTAATAGAATGTCTAAAGTGGACTATCGAAATAAAGTGTTACAACAAAAAATATTCCAGTCACTGCTGCATCAAGTTTTGTTCATGTTAAAACAGAAAATGTTTCATTTGCTTGTAGGACAAATGAGCAGGATCGACATGATGCTGAACCAGATCCCCAGTAACTACAGGAGTAATAGTCCCGGTCCTTCTGGACCTCCAGGCCCACCTGGCAACCAGGGACCCCATGGAGAGTCAGGTCAGCCCGGACCCAACGGGTTCCCAGGAAATCCAGGTTTGCCTGGGCCTCCAGGAGAAAGAGGTATGCAGTTACCTCACATGGGAAGAAGTCTAGTTAAAGATGGCAAAATAAGGCATCTTTATGTGTCATAGTCATAGAGATTTCAGGGTGGGCTCAAACACCTTGAATGTATTTGTGTATTTATAGGTTTATTTTTAAAACACAACTAAGATTTTCCTCAAAAACTGAAACAATTGTTGATGCACATGATTGTAATGGATTCCATTTTCCGTTTGGCATTACTGCCAATCAGACACATATGGTTTGCATTTTTTAATGCATTTTTTAATGCATTTACCCTTAACATCCTAGGATTGGCCGGAGAGAAGGGTGAAAGAGGAAGTCCAGGCATTGGCACTCGAGGACAGAGAGGATTACCTGGACCTCCTGGTATGTCTTCGTTCAACCTAATGCCACCTCAGCTTAACCGGTCCATTTCACTGCTAATTAGTTTGTATACACACTTGCCTTTTCAAGGCTTTCAGTCACAGTCTATCCAAAACCTCCTGATTAATGGAACCAATTCTAATTATCGTTAACATTTATTTAACAACTGTGATTTCTACGTTGTTATTCCGTATCACAATGTTTCTCATTCGGGGACTATTTAGGCATGACAGATGAACATTAGCGCAAAATGATGAATCATTAAGACATGAATGGCCTGTTACACAACTGTTGCCATTAGTTTTTCCGAACGATCAGGAACAGCTTTTTCCCTTGGATTGTTTATTTCCCTCAAGCGTGTGCTAACCCCTCATCAAATCCTGTTGTGACAGTTGGGATTAAGGGAACCCTAAGAGTCAGTCAGCTGAAGTATTTGTCTCAATACGCCTGTAGCAATATTCAGACAAATCATTTTTCAGATATAAAAATATTTAGGGTGTTTTCCTCTCTTGTGCTGTTTATGTATGCTTTTAGCCTTTCCAAAGGATTGAGATCCAGGGGCTGGATTCACGAAAATCTGAAGTTTTCGGTCACACTTTAGTTTGGGGTTCAATTCTCACTATTAACTAACTATTAATAGTAAGGTGGTTGTTAAGTTTAGGTATGGGCTAGGGTTAAGAGATCTAAAATATTGTCATGCAGAATAAGGCATTAATATGTGCTTCATAAGTACTAATAAACAGCCAATATGCTAGTAATATGCATTGCTCATAAGCAACTAGTTAATAGTGAGAATTGGTCCCTAAACGAAAGTGTTACCGAAGTTTCATAAGATTGTAAGTTTGTAAGAAAGTGCAATTCTCAAAAACAATCCTCAGAAGTTCTCAAATATTTTCTTGAGAACATCTGAATTTTTATTCTGAAAAGAAAATGACCGTTTTCACTGATCAATTTAATGATAAACACCTCAAAGGCTTCTTTTTGCACGCACTTATCTTAGATTACCATAATAATCCTAATAAGTGTGCAGCTGTGCACAATGGTTTCATCTTGACTGGTTTGATGGGATTTTATCTTTTTTTAAGGTGCCTGGGTATTAGAAATAGCTATTTTTAATTCATTTGCACTCTGTCTTTTTGTGTGCACACTATTAGAGTGCTGAAAATTACGTTAATCGAAAATTTTATTAATTAAATATAAATACAAGGTACCCATTTGACTCATTTTGTAGATGTTACTGAATTCCGAATTCAGCAAATAGTCACGTCTTGAATATACATGACCAATCATTGTCTACATTGTCAATCACTGGCATCACTTCAGAGTAATCATGCAAAACCTTTGTAATAGTAAGATGTATTATATGTAGCTAGCGTTATGTTGTAATGCTTAATTACAGCACGTAATATAAAAATATAGGAGGCTATCTTTACTTCAAGAAGTTATGATTTTTAAGAAAATTCTTTTCAAGAATTTGAATTCTTCAGTTTTGTCTTAATCTTAAGAAAAAATATAAATACAAATAAATATGTTCTTAAGAAATATATTTTGGAATACAAAATAATCAAAACTCTCCCCCCCCTTAAGTAAGAAAATATGAAGAAAATAGAAGTTAAGAAGAATTTTATTCTAAAGTATGTTCATGAATGAATTCCATTCCATTATCAGTGGAACATCTGTGTTCTTCAGTTGACGTGGAGGGAAAACCGCATTACACGCAGCTGATCCACTGTCAGGGCAATCAGCACGCTTATTTCCTGCTGGCTGTACCTTAATCAACAGTCAAAATGATCTTACTGTTCAGTTCAAATCTGAAATTCTCTCAAATGATCTCATGATCTCGAGACATCTGTGGGTAGTTGTTTCAATAAGACTTGTTGTCTAAACATTAGCCATTTATGCTTGTTCAGATTGACCAAAAAAAAAAAAAGAGTCTTTAACAGGACAGATAAATTAAATCAGAAGCAGGTACAATGTTCAATGACAGTGTCAATGTTGTGACGTTCATGATTTATGAAATGAATTTAGTTCAAGTTAGAATAGTCTTGAATAGTCTTTGAAACCCCTTGCCTGTTAGGGGCCAATGCAGAAGTTGTCACAGAAGTTATAACAATAATAATCTGCACCCATTCCTCCTGATACATGAAAACCTGGAAACAATTCTGTTTTCAGTAAACAAGGCACTTCCATTATCATAAGAAGCAAAGCTGGCCAAAGTGGTAGTTTCCATGCTGAGCCCTGATCACAAGTCCCAAGTAATCCAGTTATTATTGGAGAGAATTTGTACAGACATGTTTCGCGTTCTGAGCGCAGTCTCTCCTGATTCACTCATCCCAGCGCAACACAAAGGGTCTGAATGAAGTTCTGGCTCCATGGTAACTACAACAACATTCAGTTCAACAAACACAATTCTGCACTTTCTCCAGGGGATGCATTTAATTACTATCCAGTCTGCTAATGTAAAACCACGCATTTCTAGGAGCTAGAAAACTATAAAGAAGTGGAAACATCTCCCTGGTGCAAACAATGCCAAGACCTCTCTGTGAATGAGATACACAGCGATCGTATACGTACAGTAGGAGGAAGCTTGCGGTGACTCACTGTTTGTAGTTTGACTTGTGTTTTCTGCGGAGGCTTTATTGGCAACACATGTGCTGACTTCAGAGTGCACGAGAGCGAGAGTCGAGGGACAGCATTCCAGTTTGGTTTATACCGTCTAGACAGAAAAGGGTCGGGGGGGGGGCAGAATTACCCCTTCTCCCTTTTAATTAAGCAGTCAAAATATTTAAATTACAGTGCTCGAAATCAATTTCACCATCCGCAAAACCTAGAGGCGAAGTAAAGGATGCTTTCTTACACCTCCTCTCTTTCCAGGGCCACCGGGGCAGTCTCAGATAGGGCCCCCTGGTCCCTCAGGCTCAGCGGGGCCCCGGGGCCCACCAGGGCAGCAGGGTGGACCCGGAGTCAGAGGACCACCTGGACCTCCAGGATACTGTGACTCCTCTCAGTGTGTAGGCATCCCTTACAATGGACAGGGTTACCCAGGTAAGCACAGTACAGTTGCGTGATTGTCTTGAGCTCTGTCCCAAAACCTAGTGAGCTGTCTTGTTGAGGTGTGTTGAGCTTCTAAATGAAATGGAACCCTCAAATAATTTGAAAACAACAAATAACATTGATTCCAATGGAATTTGATGTTAACATGTTGCTAAGCTAACAACACAAATATTGGTTAATACAGTGAACATTACCAAACTTTTTTTTTTAAACATTGTTTTTCACTTTGCTGAAATCTGGGGTAAGTTAGGAGAAGGTGAACAATGTGTAATTATTTTTAAATTGTAACATAGTTGCATCAGCCAATTTGTTATTTAGGGAAATAAATAGAAACATTTGCTTAATATATTCTATGACTTATATACAGGCACATTAATATATACATATTTAATGGCCCATATATTAATTGAAGATATGTCTTAATAGATGGGATGCATAGTAGGAATAGTATTTTACTATTTTGCACAATTTCTCAACCGATACCGATACCGCATATTGTTCAGAATTTGCCGATACCAATAGCTTGGGTTTCTTAAAGGAAAAAAATGTCTCCCAACTAATGCTGTGGGACTATTTTCAGGCGCTGCGTAATATCATTGCGCCTACCGCCAGACCCGGAGATCGGCTGAATGGATTCGAAAACGGTAAAACTCAGCTGTTTAACTCTAGGGGAGTTGGAAAATGAGCCTATTTTCAAAAATAGTGGAGTGTTCCTTTAATCCCAAACTATTATATTCAGTTGCTATTTATTTTCAGATATAAAAATCACACTCTTTTATTGGCCGATACCGATTATTGATTAATGAGTGCATCCCAACATCCCCAATAGTTTTATTTTTATTTTACTTAATTAGCCTATGATTAGTTATGCACCGAAATTAGTTTTTTTTTTACCAAAACACCAAAACCAAAATTGAAGTTTATTTAATATTTAATTAATCAACTTTATGTATAATCAACACTAAAATAAAAACTGAGTTGTGTATAAACATGTAAATTGTGAATAAGGCAGTTTGTATATCAACTTTCGTAAAATTCGTTGTATGTTGAAATATTAAACATAAATGGTGGCAATAACAATAACTTGTCTTCATGAAAAGTTCATACAAACAAACATTAAATAAGTAATATGACAAATAAACATATAATGTAATATAAGAGCGTAAACAGACAAAACAACCATTGATATTTAACGTAATACAATATCACAGATTACAAAGAGACAAAATTAGATCAGTTAACCTAAAAACTGTTTTGACTGACCTCATGTGTATTTTAGTTAAGGCAGCATAATGCTGTCTAGCTAGGCAGCTCAGCAGGGTTTGGAACAGAGCTCTAGAGTAAGCGGCTAATCATATGATTGCTGTCTCTTTGCTTAACAATATAGCTAATCGATGAAGAATTGCATGTTTATAGTTTTGATGGTAGTCGTTTTGCCACTGAGATGAACTAACACAATCTTTAACCCATTTCAGGTTTTGCGTAGTTTGCTATCTAGACTGCCTGATCCCTTGCACATCCCGTGTCAGCGAGATTAGCACTCGCTCTGAGCTAATAAGGATAACCACCATGGATATGATTGCTGAATATTTGCTGGCCAACTCTTAAAAAAAAAACCCCAATCAAACCAAAGAAAGGACTGGACTGCCACTAACACCAGCTGTGCGCTACTATATCATACTGGAGCCAGTGATGGTTACAGACCCGTGGCCCGTTTGCATCTAGAGCAGCAAGAAAGAGCTTTGTTTCGCTGAGAACGCATGTGAAACTACTAACAATGAGCGTTTATGTTAACAGTGTTCAACAGTGGTAGCTCTTTATGAGGGTGAGATGATTGTAAATAAACTAATTGTGCCTTGTAAATGTTAATCGATGATGCAGTGGGCTAAAGTTAACAGGTTAACAGCAGTGATCAAGCTTGCTCCTGATAAATTGCTTCTTGCTGACGTTTCCTTTTCATTTGTGGTTTTCATCTTTGATGATACATGTAGGCAACGCTCAGGTTAAAAATGCAGTGTGTGCCATTAGTATATGCAACCATGAAGTTTTCGGTATATTTGCAGAGTGCTACGGTTTTCTTTCATTGTTTGATATTGCGATTTCTATAATTGTATGATACCTCACAGCAAGTTTTCACAAATGCATTTATACACGTATGTTAGAT